TGCTGTTGTTGTTGCTGTTGTTGTTGTTGCTGCTGCTGTCGTTGTTGTTGCTGCTGCTGTCGTTGTTGTTGCTGCTGCTGTCGTTGTTGTTGCTGTTGCTGTTGTTGCTGTCGTTGTTGTTGCTGTTGTTGCTGTTGCTGTTGTTGTTGTTGTCATTATTGTTTATACTGCGGCTGTCGTTGTTGCTGTAGTTGTTGTTGCTGCTGCTGTTGTTGTTGCTGCTCTTGTTGCTGTTGTTGCTGCTGTTGTTGCTGCTGCATTCGTTGTTGCTGTAGTTGTTGTTGCTGTTGCGGCTGCTGTTATTATTGCTGAAGCGTAATGTTGCTAATAGTATAATCATGTTGTGGTGATATTACTCCACTTCTTAACGCTTTTTTTCGTTTTTACTCCAGACAATTCGACACGTACATTGTTCTTCTGAGACAACATCTTGGTAAAATGGACATATGGTTAAACAAAGCCGAAGCTCGAAGAAAAGCCACAGGTGAAATCCAATCAGGCTACGACAGGGTTAAGAAACAACTAGAAGAACATCAAGTACGTGATTTCAGCATAAATTTTTATAAATCAAACATGGAATACATAATTGCACATTAAACAATTTCCCGCCATTTTTGAGCCACGCGCGCGCGCGCTCCAATATTCTTTTTTAATATGCTATCTTAATATAAAGTGGAAACGTTTTATTTTTTGTATAGATTTTTGTGTGAATAATTATAAAAACTATAACTACCGTTTGAAATATTCTTCCTCAAACTTTGTAGCGGTGAAATAGAGAAGATTTAAATTAAAATTTGATCACAATTTACAGAAATTCCAAGACGAGATTAGAGAACATTCGATGGTAACCCTCATCCTAGAACTTGATATCACCGACCCTGCTGTCAACGAGAGCGTACAGACACAAATCAAAATACTAAGCGAACGATGGGCTTCGTTATGGCGATGGTCAGAAGAAAGAAGAACTCTTATGTTGAAGTTAATGAATAACTGGCAGAAGTTCCGAGATGAGCAGCTTGTGTTGTTGAACTGGTTGTCATCGAAGGAAAAAGTGTTGAAGGAAATGGGAGTCACGGATCTGTCAAACGAGGAAGAAGTCACACAACAGCTGGAAGTGCTCAAGGTATCGTGTTTTCTCGTATTTCTACTATTCTAGTTTTCGTTTGTTTGATTGTTTGTTAATATGCGTGTTTTCTTCTAGTTCGTCCGTTCGTTCGTTCGTTCGTTCGTTCGTTCGTTCGTTCGTTCGTTCGTTCGTTCGTTCGTTCGTTCGTTCGTTCGTTCGTTTGTTTGTTTCTTATTCATTTGCACATTGTCGTACAGAAAATGGAGAAACAGTTAGACGAACAAGGACTGCGATTACAGAACCTACACAAGGCGGGTGACGAACTGCTGAAGGATGTAGATGAACATGACCAGGCCAGTAAGGACATCAAGGATCAGCTAAACGAGTTTGATGAATGTTGGAATAGCATCGCTAAACAAGTCATAGACCGAGTACAATCGGTGAGAATATTTTCTAATTAATGTCTATGTGAATAGCTAAAGATTTGTCTACACGTCTAACTTGTCTGTCGTCAGACTGTCGATTCGTTGCATCTGTTTGTCTGTTAATATTCATTTTTTTCCTTTTTCTTTCAGCTCGAAACTTCCCAAAACAAATTAAGAGAGTTTCGTCTCGAGATGGTTGTAGTGAATGAATGGATGGAAGAGACAGAGCAGATAATCAGTGGCTTCCACATCGATATGGACCCCGAAGAAGCCACAAGATTACAGGGAAAACTAGACGTAAGTAATCGTGATGCGCATGCGTCAAATTAAACCGCTGAGCTGTTAGTTGTTTTCTAAAAGATTAAGTAATGATAACGTAAGTAATGTTGATCCGCATGCGCTAATTTTCAAAACCGCTGACACTAACCCTTTGAATATTTACAGTGCATGCGTTAGAGACTTAAACCGCTGACCGAGCTTTTGTTTTCTCGTAGATAAAATGTGATGAAAGGTCCAAATATCAAACAAGAGTGGACCGAATCAACAGACACGGCAAAGATCTTCAGGGTACCGTAGACCAGCCGTCATACGAAGTGATTAACGATGAACTAGAACCATTCAACAAACGATGGACCAAAGTATCTGAACAAATAGAAAACCTCAGCGACAAAGGCTACCCAACACCAGAAAACGAGTGTTGCTTTATTAGAATCCTTAGACGAAAACTAGGAATATGTCATTGATGACGTCATTATATAACGTCACTATTACCATGGTGATCAAAGCACTCGCATAGCGTAACTAAGTCTGTGACATTTTCTGGCAAGTTTTGATAAGAATATGTTGAAAAAGAAATGATAAAATTCAAAAGTTGAACTTACGTAAAAATGGAAATTATATAAAGTAACACCCTTATCTTGCGTGACATCTCGTGGGTAACACTTCTTTTAAAGCGAGACACAAATTGTGTAATTATTCACGCACTGTGTTAACTAATTAGCTTAAACGAAAATTGCGTACGCTATTGCTTAAAATACGCCAGTTTCTCACATCAAATTGGACACAAATTAATATCATAAAAAAAACGCACAAACATCATAGTAAGCTGCATTATATTTATTAGTTATTAAACATACTACTGTCTTGTTCATGTATTTTCAAGAACTACGTCGAGAGCGCTCTCTAAAGAATCAATATTTGTTAATAAAATTTGCATTCAAAACGAACCTTGAAAACCTTTGAGTTTTGTATTCCTCTCGGTTTTTCGTTTTTGTTTTCTTAAATGATCCGTTCTTTTTCGGCGGGAAATCGCTTTGACCATTAACCGAACGTCAGGCAGTTTTCCCGCTCTTTTTGGTGGGAATTTCTTGATCATACAAGGTACACGCACATGTGGTCGGTAAGTGTCAGGTGAAGCTGGTCGGTCATGAGATATGTGAAGACTGTATTGGTCGTTACAACAGGTGGTCGGTAAGTGACAGGTTAAGGTGGTCGGTCATGAGATATGTGAAGRCTGTATTGGTCGTTATAACAGGTGGTCGGTAAGTGACAGGTTAAGGTGGTCGGTCATGAGAGATGTGAAGTCATTCAAGAACCAGCAGTGGTTGTTATACCAGCAGTGGCCGGTTGTACGAAGGGTAGATAGCACAATCCAATGGAAAAATCCAGTGGATAACTCGATGCTGTTATCCAATAAATTTATCCACTGGATAAAATATATCCGTCGGATAGCGCTATCCACCCTTCGTACAACCGGGCCCTGGTCTTTAAGTGATGGGTGAGCATTTCGATCTAGAGAAGTCGATTTCTATATAGCCTGAAGGTATGCAGCATTTAGCCAATAGCCTGTTCAAATGTCGTAATTTTTCTGCATTCATACACACTCGTATCCAAGAAAATAATGACATTTCGAACAAAATTAGTCAGCAAACTTCTTTATAACATTTTCACTAGATTTGTTTTCCTTCAATAATTTTTATCTTATTTTATAGTTTCTCTTACAATATTCCTCAGAAATCATTATCGCAGATATTTCCAAAACAAATTCCATCGAGACGTTTAAGTCACCCGAGCAATATGATAAACGATTTTTCGATATTATATCATTTGCGCAAAGATCTACAATTAATTTTTACAGCCTTAATCAAAATAATTGATTCTCACTCGAGCATTTATCAAAGGAATATCTTGCTTTTTGTTCTTCAATAACAACATAAATTCTTATGCAAATTCCTTCATTTTAGCACAGATTTCAAGTTAAGTTTACAACAGAATTAGGTCAAGCAGAACGCACGCTGTTATTTAATCGATCTACTGCAGTTTGATTTAAGGAAAAAGCTGGTAAATTGGCGAGAAAAGTGTCTGTCGCAGTACAAGAACGATGAGTATCGAAAAGGACTCTAAAAAGAGGTATGGTTAAGATCACTAGTTTGCTTGCTTGCAATGAAAACCAAAGTTTAAACCAAATTTTAATTCCAAATCCAGAGTTCCTCGAAATGTGTTATATTATTGTGCTTTTCCATCGCCAAAAAAATAAACTTTTGTTCGATGCCACCTCCTGTCTGTACATGTAGTTGCATATTCTTTCATCGTATCCATTCTTTGCTTGCAAAATCGTAAACTATATACATAAAAAACATGTAATGTTAGGTAAACATCTCGTTAGCTAAATTATAATATAAATTTGCAGGTTCCTTCTACACATAAAAGGCTTTTGTAATAATAATTCTAACTTTTTAAAACATTGGCTGCCACTTTCCACCAGTATTGCAGTTTCGTCATTGTTGCAGCGATCTTCCACATGGAAGCGAAAACAATTTTAGTAAAAAGGTTTTTAGTAAAGCATCATATTTTTCAATATTGAACCTAAAAGCTAAAACGACAGTTTTGAGGAACAAATGACTTATAATAAGAAAACAATTGCAAATATCCTTATTGAATCTTAACTCTAAAAGAAAGTAAACAAGCATCTATCAGCAAATTACCAGATTTCAATGTTTGTACAGCATTGTTCTTTCCAGGAGACAACGTTAAACATACGTGTCAACTTCAGTAAACTTACATCCTCAAATTATTTATCATGACTGAAGATGCTCTAGCACTTTCTTTTTTAAGTATTTTTGTATTGTTTTCTGTTTTGAATTTATTATTTTTGGCATTAAATATCATGCGAGTCAAGGTTGAACGAGTTGGACATTAAAAACACTGGAGCTTTTTGTTTTGCCTTTTGTATTCCAAATTCAACGAGTTTCATTCTAAGCATAGCTATGCAGCTTAATAAATGTGTGTTTGGCGTTTGTATTCAAAGAACCAATGTTCGGATTCCTATTACGACGTTTTCAAGCAACCCTAGCTAGGTAACTGCTTGGATTGATAATATTTATTTATTTATTTATTTATCACTGCTTAATAGAATAATAGTGCTTTAAAATTTACCTATAAGTTCCCAATGTCTGCTTCATCAAGTTTCTATATAAATATCAATTTATTCAGCTATCAAAAAATATTAAATTTTTGCGTTTAATGAATGATTGCATCGCTTGGTTCTTAACCTACAAGCTGCAATTGAAGGTTTTGGTTTTGGATTGATATAGATTCAATTCTAGTTGCGATACCATTGCTCAAGAACAGTCTTTTTTCCTATTCGCAGCCTGTTATTCATAGCAAGATATGCATTCTAATCTAGTTTTGATGTTCATTGATTATAATTATTATAAAGCACAGTCTTTCTTTCCTATTTACAGTTATAATTCAATTCTCTATACTTTTCACGATAATCATCTTCGTCGTCGATGACATATTCTTTCGCTTACACTCATGCATGTGGTTTAACACATTGTATTATATGCCTGTGTTTGATAGTATTTAGTACTACGCTACAATCTGCTGTTATACCATTTCTAGGCAAAAGGAGATTACGAAAGAATGGAAGACAATATCTTCTCACTATTCCAAAAATCTAAAGTCCCTTGAAGATTTGGTAACCAAGCTAGGCGTCTATCAAACTCTACAGGTAGGTAACCCTATAGGAATAGACCATTTGTATCATAGAGGCATTTATGATTCACCATTTAAAATATAGCCAATCAGAATACAGGAAAGACGTTTTATGATTAGGGATATTCCACTGTTCCTTCCCATCATGCATTGCGGCCTAGGAGTGGAATAACACTAGTTATACAATGCTTTCTCATTATACACCATGGAATTGCATATTTTTCTTGATCTTTTCTTGTCAAACAGTTAGGAGGTGAAGATGATAGCATGGCTGGAGTGCAGAACGATGACATTGTTATCTGGAAACAGCATGTTACCCGTGGACAGCAACAGTTATACAAGTAATAATTAATAATCTGTCATTATTATATCAAATAGATGCTGAATATTTATCATTTAATACCATCGTCATCATCACATCAACATCCTATAATAATTAGCATTATCATCACCATCATCTTGATTACCATATTCATCGTTTATTATCGCCACTACCACGTCCATCATATCATCATCGTCATCAACAACATGCAGTCATCATTCATTATCATCACCATCATCAACATAACAGTCAATTCCTTTTCAACATGGCGGAAAGCTTTGTTAGCAAACTATCTGAAAAACAGACCGAAAACAAAAGTTAAAACCTGTAAAACGAAAAAAGACAAATGACGACAAACAGCCCCATGATTCAGTGCGCGTTTTACTCGTTACCAGTTTTCCGCGCAGCCTCGACCTCGGAAAGGCCAATTACGATCAGGATTAAGTTTTTCATTTTCTCCTCCAGTTCACTGAAGAAGCTTCGTGATTTGATAACCAAGCGCAAGAAAATGGAAAGTGCCTCTTCCAGACCCATCAAAGTCTCCATTAGACGTCAGTCTAAACGATCGTTGAATCTGGAAGATCTACAGAAGCATCTGGAAGGCTATGGGGTGAGTAAAGCCTTCATCATTTTATTTTCGTCTCTTGTACGGACATGCACAGTATTTTTCATCATTAAAGCATTTGCATTGATCATTTATCACCACCACCACCATCCTTTTTTATCATTAAAATACTCATCATCATCAACATTATCGTCATTATCATCATCATGTATCATCACCATCATCTTCATCAACATCATCATCATGTGTATCATCACCATCATCATCATGTATCATCACCATCATGTATCATCACTATCATCAACACCATCATCATTTATCATCATGTATCATCACCATCATCTTAATCAACATCACCATCATCAACATCATGTATTATAATCACCATCATTTATCATCATCCTCATCATCACCACCATCTCATCGTCTTTATTGCCATCATCATTACTACCACATTATCGACTTCATCTTCATCGCCATCTTCACGTCATTATCATCATCATCAACATCATCATCATCATCACCATCATCTAGCAGATTTAAAACTTTTCTTCTTCTTTGAGATTGTTTCCTCTACTTTTAGTCGTTGACAGATGATTTATCCACGTATGTGGCAGTGACAGAGCAACTTATCACACTTGGTAACAAACGAGTAGTTGGTGGTGAACTGAACGAAGAAAACGCTACAAAACTACGAGATGAACTTGTAGCACTTAATTCACGCTGGAACAAGCTGAATGGAAAAGTACTTCGCTATATTGACAGGTAAAGAGAAGCACAAAGTTAATGGTAATGATGATAATAATATAATGATAATATATATGGGATTTATCAACGGCTTGATAGAGATATAGAAATTCAATATTTTGGCATGTCAGATTAACAAACGAAAATCCCAATATTCTACGTGGTTATATCGACTTATTTAGATCTATAGATTTGGCGGGAACTTTCGTGCATTGCCTAAACGCGCCCTTACTGGCTCACTAAGTATTCATATGTTCTTCAGGTGCGAACAATTCATTGATGAAATAGTCACCGAGCACAGGAATTTATCATTGTGGATCGTGAAGGCCGACAATATGGTACAGTGGCTGACGGAGTGCGAGAAGCTGGTTCAACGAGAAAAGAAATTGGGTATTGATGAAGAGACTCTGGAGGAACAGTTACAGGATGTAGAGGTACACTGAATATGAACTTGCATCTCTTGAGACGTCAATAAAACGTCCTTGTTTACGAAGGTAGCACTTAATAGTCAGTGGCTCACAAACCTGTGGCCCTGTTCCATGGTCAAATTGGAAGTAAACCCTTGAATCATAGGAAAGAAACAACAAGCAACTTTGCCTGACTTTGCTCACGTGTTGTCAAAACGTAAACATGGATGGTGTGCGCTAATGCTCCGCCCGTCATTACTTTGGTCATCATGGGTTCAATCAGTATGATTCGTAGACACGCAACTACAATCGACACTAGAGAAAACCTTTGCGCATGCGTGCATTTCAGCACGTTTTCTAAGAATTTCTAAGAATTGAGTGAGAAAATAAATGTTTGTTTTCTCAGAGTATACTAAAAAATTCCAAGATACTGTATTAACAAACACAATATGATAGATTTAGCCTCAAGTTTCAAGCATGGACACTTAGTTTTGGTATTTTGTGAAGTCCAATTTATCAGGCATGTTTGATAGTCAAATTTGCATATTTTTACGGATTTAGAGCCTGCGCAGACGTTTTTCACTTGTGTCCCTACAGTCGTTACTTCGTGTCATTAACACAATTATAGTCTTACGGAAGCACGAAAACCTCAGAGAGGAAGGGGAGGGAATATGGACAAGAGAAAGATGCTAAAAGATAAAAGAGAAAGTAATTAATGAAACCATATCCTAAAATCATCTTGGATGCGAGGTTAACACAGAAATACGAGAGAGAACCATTTGTATTTCCATGTTAGCCTTTCTAAGGGTCATAAATATAACTTTAAATCTTAATTCCAGGAGTTTCTAAAAGAAGGTAGTGAGTACCAGCCCTCAGCGCTAGATGTTCTGTTCACTGGTGAAAAGTTTGTGCAGGCGAACCGTTTGGATAAACACGACATTGAACACGTCGACAAGACGGTGGCTGCCCTGAGAAAACGATGGAATGCGATGGAAGTTCACTTGGAAACAAGACAAAGCAGGTACAACAGCGCACTTCGCCTATTAACGCATGCCCAAAAAAGTTCACCAATCTATGTATTAGACATCATAAATCTACGCATGCGCAAAAAGACTATCTACGCATGCGTAATAAACGAACTCAATAAAAATCTTCAATATTTCATTTGTCAGGATAGTCGAAAGACTGGATGTTATCAAGAAGGGCAAAACTGCTGACAAGTTAAGACCGTGGAGAGAAAAAGCAAATTCTTTGGCGAATTCTTTCAGCGAATCGAAAGAAGTTCTAGACTCTGTTGACGATAAGCTGAAAGATGGTGATAAATACGAGATACTAAAGCAGTGTACGTCAGACATAAAGGTATTGAGAAATACGTCTAGGGATAGATGTAATGAGCATGCGCCATCAAGGTACATTAATGTATATATTTTTGGTAAATTAAACCACTTTAGAAAATCGAGCATCGCCTTCTCAACGAGAGTAGTGAGGCATTAACCGAGGTATCTTCTACTGGATCTGCTTGGATGTCTCAAAGGCAACTCTCTCGAGATGACGACGAAGAAGTGGAAGAAACTGTGGATGTGTTGCATAGAAAAATGTCGGACCTAGAGGAAACAGTTAGGAAGAATAAGGAGAGGTAATGATTACAAATAGAGAAATGGATGGATGAATGGGAGGCTGGATGGATAGATGGAAGGAATGAGTAGGTGGGTGGGTTGGTGGTTGGAAGGAGAAATGAATAGATGAATGGGAGCTGGATGGATAGATGTATGGATAGATGAATAGAAGAGAATGCAATAGTCTAACGCTAATGATATTTCTTGTCCAGAGTGTGTCGCACAACAGCGAACATCATGAACCAACAAATCAGCGAATGTGAACAGAGCATCAACGATCTTGATAACGCTTCTCTCGACAACTTTGCAGCAATCGGTACAGACGTTAAAGCCGTGCAAAAACAAATAGAAGATCTTGAGGTTCGTGTGTTACAAAGTATCATAGTCATATGTTGCTTGAACACAGAGAGGGAGGGAGGGAGGGAGGGAGGGAGGGAGGGAGGGAGGGAGGGAGGGAGGGAGGGAGGGAGGGAGGGAGGGAGGGAGGGAGGGAGGGAGGGAGGGAGGGAGGGAGGGAGGGAGGGAGGGAGGGAGGGAGGGAGGGAGGGAGGGAGGGAGGGAGGGAGGGAGGGAGGTGGAAAGTGGCTGTATTGATCTGAGTGCAGGATAAGAACCGGAAACCTAAGTTGGATGAATTGATGGAAGAATAAAGGTAAGGGAGGATACGAAGGATGGAATGATGGATGGAAGGATAGAAGTAGGGAAGGAATGGATGGATGGATTGTATAGGATGAAAGGATTTTAATTAATAGATAAATGGAAGGATGGATGAATGGAAGAAACGAATGGATGAATGGATAGATAAATAGATGAACAGATGAACAGATATACATTGGACATATTAGGACATGGAAGGAGTAGAGGAAAAGATTACTGGAAGGAGATGGAAGGATGGGTATTAATGAACGAAGAGAAAGAATGATCAACAGAGAAACAAAAGAGCTCAGGAAAGAGAGGGAGGAGATCTGGTGGGTAGAAATATGAATATTAATTTTCATTCATAATTTATAATCATGTGTGTTTCTGTAATATTCCACAGAAATTCGAGGATCGTATCGAGGTAAATGAAGCCGAGTTCAACCAGGTAACACAGAGATTTGAAGACGCATTATCCGAAAATATGCTCGATGAGCCGAACAGACACAAATTAAGCCATCGGCTGCAAGAACTGGAATGGAGATACAAAGAACTGTGGAGAGAGAATGATAACAACAAAGAAAGGTAAAACATATTTTATATTCAAATTAAATTCCCAAAGTTATCATTTTCACATCTTTTGAAAAAATATGAATTATTTATGAAACTTCAAAAATGGATGTTTTTAGCCAAAAAGCATGGACTATAGCCCATGGTTTTGATCGATTTTGGGTCATTTTCACACCTTTTCAAAAAACATGAATCATTTATGAAACTTCAAAAATGAGTGTTTTTAGCCAAAAAGCATGGACTATAGCCCATGGTTTTGATCGATTTTGGGTCATTTTCACACCTTTTGAAAAAATATGAATTATTAATGAAACTTCAAAAATGGGTGTTTTTGCCAAAAAGCATGAACTATAGCCCATGGTTTTGATCGATTTTGGGTCATTTTCACACCTTTTGAAAAAATATCAATTATTAATG